TTCTTAACTCAGTAGCCCAACTTGCCCAGCCTGAAGTGCAATTGTCTCATACTGGATCCAGTGGTCTGAATGATTCCGGAATGAGGAGGTGGTGCCAAACAGACTATTTATCTGAGCTAAGGACATGTGTAAGTATAAGAAAGTAGTTTTGCTTATGTTTTCCTGTTTAAGAAACTGTACTTAGCCAATTCGATACTTCTTTTAATGTCGCCATTAACCTTAATTTTTTCTCAAAATATTCAAGCGACGATATTCTAAGACCATGACTGGACGCATTAAATATATATAAATGCATATATTTTTAGACATATATATATATATGCAAATTCGAATGGTAAAGAAGATGCCCTCCTACTCTAGCCACGGTTTAAATTTCGTTGATTCATCATAATTATAGCGGAAAATTCTGTCAACACTTTAACGGAATAATTTTGTTCTAAGCTCTTGCTAAACTAATCTAAAAGAGATATTATAACCAAGCTAAGTGTAAATGCATTTATAATGTCTTCCATTTAAATTTCGCTTATATGATTATGACTCCAGCCTCAACACTGCTCGTATTATTCGTTGCTATCCTTGTAGGCCAATGAAGGACCTACAACTTACTTGGAAGCGCTTGCTCTTATGGCGGATTTGCTCGCATTTTGATTACTTGAGCTGTATAACATCAGACGCTTTGACAAGATCTTGTTCACATTTATTTGTAATTAGTACTAGGGTACAAGAGGAATTGAAAGTCTATTTACATCTTGTTGGGGGAACTTTTATTTCGTTTGAAGGTGCATGGAGAAGAGATTCATTGGTCGATCTCACCAGATGAGGACGGATGAATCTCGTTGTACTGCAACCGTTTGGCTTTTATATGATGCTCATGTTGATGCATGCTATTTCAGGAGATTCATCGAAACCCAGTTTCTCTTCGTAACTCTTGGCTTGTAATAAGCTTCTTTAAATCCTCCTGTCAGAGATAGATGCAAGACGTGAGACAATGTTAGGATTATTTCAGTTTAAGCCGCTCACCAGGATGTGCTTCGCATTTTCGAGGCTCCTTTAGCCTCGGTTCTTGCATCAGACTTCATATAGCCCCAATTCTACGATACAAATTCATATGCTGGTCACTGACAAAACATTTGTACCTCTGCTTTGGCATGGTCATCAAACCTTTAAGAGAACTTTTTTAAAGATTTTTGATGCTAGGTTGCCTATCTTCACAGCCTGTTAGTACAGATTTTACTTCTAGCATCTTCTTTAATAAAAAATTAGGTTTTAAATAACTTCCTAATAATTATATATTCTACGATTTACCATTTTAGGGTTAAAGTTGGCTAAAGGGAATTAATGAATTGACATGCTCAAAATTCACAAAGAATTTATTCTAATTAGGATTGCGTAATACATAAAAATTAATGATTTATTTGTAGCCCATAAATTAACATCTCTGAAATATGTAATATTTCAAAAAAGATTTTGCTCAGTTTGCAAAATGGGCAGGAGGAAGTCTAAGGTCAGAACGATGTTGTGTCTTTTTTAAGTATTTTCGGGCGCTTTAAGGCTTTTTGTTCATGTGGCAATGTCTCTGCCTAACTATCCAGAAGAGCTTAGCCCTAAAATTTGAGCTGGCTGAGTACACGGTTA